ACTCAGAGCTCTGGGGGCTCGCAGATGTGTTTTAGCCTAAATACTATACCATACACATTTGAGAAGTCGGTCCCTCCTGTGTGTCCCAGGTACCTCACCAGATGTGGCGTCTCCTCCACAGTTCTTATAGGTAGGCTATATTCTAAAAATGTTCATGTTTCTCGGCTTCAAATTTTTAGTAATTTTTTTCTTCTAATACTGAGTAAATACAGGAATTCAGTTGGAAAAGATGATTATTTTCTTCCCTATATTGAGAACATTTTGTAGAAAACATAACTGCAATTCATTTTCAAAAATTGTTAGCCCAAGATTTACTTGGCTCACCAAGTTTGGAATGGCCCATTTATGTTCATTAATCCTCATCTTGGATTGGGTTTTCTCAAAATTGATTCTCACAGCCCAGCCAGCATGGCTCAGTAGTTGAGCATTGACCTATGAACCAGGAGGTCATGGTTCAATTCTGGGTCAGGGCACATGCCCAGGTTGCAGGCTCGACCCCCAGTGTGGGGTGTGCAGGAGGCAACTAATCAATGATTCTCTTTCGTCATTTATGTTTCTATGTCTTTCCCTCTACCTTCCTCTCTGAAATCAATAAAAAATATTTTTTTAAAAACTGATTCTCACTTTAAATGAGTGAATTATATGTTACATATAAATTATATCTCAATAAAGCTGTTACCAAAAAATACAGTGCACAGCCCGGCCGGTGTGACTCAGTGGTTGAGCACTGAATGAAGAATTAGGAGGTCATGGTTCAATTCCCAATCAGGTCACATGCCCAGGGTTCAGGCTCAATCCCCAGTGGGGGGCATGAAGGAGGCAACTGATCAATGATTCTCTTATCACTATTGCTTATCTCTCTCTCCCTCTCCCTTCCTCTCTGACATCTATAAAAATATGTTTTTTAAAACATACAGTGCACAGAACTCTATGAAAAAATACTCAGGGTTTCATAGCTATGTAGCTTCAATGAAAAACTTCTCTTGGTTCTTGCAAATATATCCCAGATGAAGTCTGTCTGGCCTTGGGAGATTAAGGTAAACTTGGCTGAAACCCCAAGTTTCACAATGAGAGTCCACAGCCCTCCCCACCATTTCTGCAGATTGTCAACTCTCTACTTCACGGTCCTAATTTGTTGCTCTTGTGTGTGTTCTGATTCCTTTCCTTGCCAAAGGTCAGACCCTTTACCAGATGCTGCACAAGATCGCCAATCGCCTCCCACCACAAACAGTTTGTAAGTTTAGAACTTCACTAAAGATTTGGGGGTGACACAGCACATCCCTCTTGCCCACTCACTCCACTTTCTCCTTGTTTTACTTTTCTCTTCCCCTGACCCTCTCTGGTTCATAACATAAATTCCTTTCCTGTCTCATGCCAGGCAGTTCTGCTCACACTTCCACCCCTTGACATCTCAACTTCTACTCTAAACAGGCTTCTTTTAAAAATGTAAGGAAGGCAGGAGGGCAGATAAGGGGAGGGGGAGGGAGGGAGAGAGAAAGGGAAAGAGAGGGAGAGGGATAGAGGGAGAAAGAGAAGGGAGGGTGGGAAGAAGGGGAAGAGAGAGGGAGGGAGGAGGGAAGGAAAGAGAAAGAGGAGAAAGAGAGAGAGAAAGGAAGGAAGGAAGGGAGGGAGGGAGGGAGGGAGGGAGGAACTTTGAAGGAACTGGGATCCTCTAAGAGGAATTCTCATACCAGCTATTAAAATAACATTTTCTTTTCTTGTATTTTATAAATATTAATAAGTTAAAGTTGGAAATTCTTTACATTGGGAGAGAGTTTTAACAACAGCCTTTGGTCCACTCGCTGTAGACTTCCCCCAAACCTTGGCCTTCTTACCAGAATGAAGCAATCCTCTTCTGGAGTTTACATTTAATTATAATTGCAACTGTCATGATGATTAAGCCTCTCCCTTTGTCATTGTCTTTTCTTGGCATCATTTCTTTGGCTCAGCTTGCATGCTATAGACCGCTTATGAATCACAAAGAATCTGTGCTTTTTAACTGTGGCGAAATCATAGGCAGTTTTTTGTTTATTTCCAGAATCAGTTCCAAAACAGCTGTTAAATGTTCATCCTTGGTTTTGTCATCTTATTTCGGGGAATTGTAACAGCAGCATCTTCTGTTTCTAATTCTCCTGAAGAGAGCAAAAAAGAACTCCCCAAGATGGTGTGCTGAGCATAGGTGATAGTTAATGACTTGTTTCCTCTCGTTTCCTTAATCAGGAAATTTCATAGTTCAGCAGGGGCGAGGTTCCCATGAACGTGGACCTGACCTAAGCCAAGCTGTGTGAAACACTCGACCATGAAAACAGCTTGCTCTGCAAGCCTCAGAGTGTTCCAAACCCGGGCCAACCAGAAGCTTCCATTTGACACAGTGGTGAGGAAAGCTTGTAAATGTTTCATGGTTAGTGATGGTTCCATCTCAAGTAAAATCAATCAGCTGCAAAGTACAACATGAAGTCGTCAATCATCTGGTAGATAGGACGCAAACTGGCTGGCGAATTTTACTTTAGGGCTATTTCCTTCGTAAAAAACTGCTGTTGAATGATGGACACACTTAATACCTTGTGGGATGAAGAACTACTCAGGACAATCAAGACAAATTGCGCCTTGTGTAGGTACAAGATATGCTTAGTTTAGAATCATTGCTTGAAGGCTAACAGCTTACCAAAACGGCCATTTTTTAAATGTCATGAGCCATGTTTAAATGGCTTTTTACCAAAGGTTTTCACACCATAGCTGTACACTGGAATAACCTAAGGAAAGCTTTGGGGAAAAAATAGTGGTAACTGGACTATACCCCAAAGATTTTTATTCGCTGGTGTCGAGTGAAACCTGGACAGTGGTCTTTTGCAAGTGCTCTCTGGGAAATGCTAATGTACAGCCAGGATTAGAGCCGCTGCTTTCTGAAAGTCACAACTGCAAACAGCCTTTGAAACCTGTGCGCTGTGTATGGGTACACATGTTGTGGTGTGCATACTACAATAAGTCAAGCATTTTATATTTGCCTGTCTTTTAAGTAGAATTTGTTCTATCAGAGATAAATTAGCCCATGACAATCTTTGGCAAACCTCACACTCACTTAAGTGTTCTCTCTTTCTCCTCCTCCTCTTTCTTCTTTTTCTTCTCTCTCTCTCTCCCACTCCTTCTCTCTCCCTCTCCCTCTCTCCCTCTCTCTCCCTTTCCCTCTCTCCTTCTCTCCCTCTCCCTCACTCCCGCTCTCCCTTTCCCTCTCCCTCTCTCCCTCTCCTGCTCCTCTGTGCACAAGTTTCCTTCTTTCACAATGTCTGAGCTTTTACATCTCTGCTGTCCTACACCCCAGATGGAACGTGAGTCTCACAGAATTAAGCCTCTAATTTTCCCGAGAAAGAGATTCTGATTGCCCTGGCTTGGGTAGGGTCTCAACCTCAGACAGTTATCTGTAACCAATGACATAGGAATACCTGTACAAACACTCCTCCCAGAGGGAATCACCTTGAACAACAGGAGCAAGGGTGAGGGAGTTTAGCGGGACAATGACTGGTGGCAAGGGAAATCACTGGCTTTGGGGCGAGGTAGACACTTCTTGTCCGTGGGACAATTCAAGTTAGCTACTGGAGCATGTTCCTCTTTACTCTGTCCATTACGTCTTTTCTACTTGTTCCTTCTGACTAGCTTACCTGTGGAGGATCTAAGCTTTGGCTGATTTTTTTAACTCCTAGAGGCTCCCAGGCACTGAACCAGTACCATATGGGAGAAAAAGAAGGGAAGAAGAGAAGTACTTTTATGCCACAGAAAGAAGAGAATTAGACCAAGGAAACAATAAGTATATTTTAAGCATCAAAGCATGACACATTATTTCCAAGAGGGGAACTGGATTAAGAAAAGAATAGTACATATTAAGCATGAAAGCTTGATGGATTATTTTAAATCGCTCCCTTTGAGTCATTTTTTTCAGACCAAATGACTCAGCCACCAAGAGATTCTTTTGTTATATGATCAATCCTACTTTATTGCTAATATGGCAAGTTCAAATGGTGATGTAGTTCTGATTAGATGTTGCATTGATGAAGCAGCCTGTTTCTCTGTCCTTATGTTCATTTTTTTTATTTTATTTATTTATTTATTTATTGTTTAAAGTATTACAAATAGTACTACATATGTCTCCTTTTTTCCCAATTGACCTTCCCCATGCCCTCACCTCTTCCCAGTGTCTTGTGTCCACTGGTTATGCTCATATGCATGCATACAAGTACTTCGGTTATGCTCACTTTTTATGAAGCATTAGCTTCCAACAGTGATGCCTGAATCTATAAAACAGACCCATCAGTATAATTGAAAAAAAAAAAAGTAAGTTTTTGAATTTGAGTGTCAGATTGTAAGTTTTTTTGTGGGTTTTTTGTTTTGTTTTTTATTAATTCTCACCCGAGGATATTTTTCCATTGATCTTTAGGGAGAGTGGAAGAGAGAGGAAAAGACAGAGAGAAACATCTATGTGAGAGAAATGTACTGACTGGCTGCCTCCTGCACAAGCCCCGACCAGGGCCCAGGCTGGGGAGGAGCCTGCAACCAAGGTACATGCCCCTGACCAGAATAGAACCAGGGACCCTTTAGTCCACAGGCCAAAGCTCTATACACTGAACAAAACCAACCAGGGCTCAGATTTTAAGTTTTTATGGAACAATGTTAAGCGAGATAGAACAATAGATATATTTAGGAAAAGGTCATATGTACATTGGTTAACATTCTGGCTTTGTGGCTTAAGGATTCAAACCCTGGTTTCTGCCTCTTTACTAGCTGTGTGATCTCCAACAAAATACTTAATTTCTTATCACAAAATAGGAATAGGAATAACACTGCCTCTGAAGAGTTGGGCAGGGTTTACTTGAAATAATGGATTGTATCCATTAGGGACTGGACTGGACTGCAAACAACAGAATCCCGGAGTAAAATAGTTGCTTCAGAAGACCAGGAGATTAGTTTTTCTCATTCACCAAGAAGCCCAGAGGTAGGTAGTCACTGACCTTGGTTAAGGGACTCAAAGTTTTCAGAGCCGAGGTCTTGGTAGTTCCTGTAATCTTTCTCTCATGATTCCAAGATGGCTGCTGCAGTGTCAGCTATCATATCCATATTCCTGACAGTGAAAAAGAGGAAGGGGTGGTGATTCAATCAAGGCAGCAAAACTTTTCCAAGGGAGTTAACAACTTTAAGTCACAGACTAAGTGCTATAACAAATAAGCCCCACTCATCAGTGGATTAACACAACAGAAGTTTATTTCTCTTGCCAAGGTCAATTGATAGCAGGGGGTGGAGGTTAGGAGAGAGGAATCGAGGCTGGTCTGCTTAGTACAGTCATGCAAGGACCAGTTTAGCATATGGGGCTTCCAGGGTCATGAATATCCCACCAACAGACAGAAGAGAGAGCATGGGGAGTTGTGTAGGAAGGTTTATGGATCAGGCTAGAATCGAGGTACTGTATTTTTGTTCATATTTTATTGGCTAGACTTCAGTCAAGTAGGTCCATCCTATATAGTAAAAGCCTAATATGCTAAGCGTCTGGTTGACCAGTCGGCTGTTCAACCAATCAAAGAATAATATGCTAATGATATGCTAAGGCCACTCAACCACTCACTATGACATGCACTGACCACCAGGGTGCAGACGCTCCCACTAGCAGGTTAACTTGCTGCTGGGGTCCTGCTGATAGGGACTGAGTGAGATGGGCCGGGCATGCCCTGGAGCCCTCCCGTGGTCCCTCCCCAGCTGACCAACCTCCTGCGTCTCTCCTCAGCCCCGATCATGCACTGGTGGCGTCCCTTGGCCTGGCCTGCGCCCTCTCACAATCCGGGACCCCTTGGGGGATGTCGGAGAGCCAGTTTCAACCCCATCCCGCAGGCCATGTACCAGGCCTCTAATATAGATATAAAGGGGGTCAGAAAATATAGTCCCTGAATGGACAGTCTTTCCCAGCAATGTGTCTATGCCAGCCGTGGGCAAACTATGGCCCGCGGGCCGGATCCGGCCCGTTTGAAATGAATAAAACTAAAAAAAAAAAAAGACCATACCCTTTTATGTAATGATGTTTACTTTGAATTTATATTAGTTCACACAAACACTCCATCCATGCTTTTGTTCCGGCCCTCCGGTCCAGTTTAAGAACCCATTGTGGCCCTCAAGTCAAAAAGTTTGCCCACCCCTGGTCTATGCCATGGAATGGAATATGGCTCTCGGGGGGTATAGCTATCTCTGCCACATTGGAGATCCATAGTAACTTCTACATAAATAGTACTGCCTCGAACTATGGCACTTGATCACCCCTGTCTGCAATAAAGGCTGTGAAATGTGACTTTCAGCCAGTATCACTGCAACCCTGGACAGCTTAGGTTTCTCTTACTAAGGAGGAAGAAATTGTGTAGGCAAGTGGTGGTGTCTGCACAGGCGAGGAAAGTGCTCAGCACAGTGCTGGCACTCAGGAAATAGTCAGTAAATGCTGGCTATTGCCATTGCTATATCTTTCTTAGGGAAAGAGGTATTGTCCGACATAGCTGTGTCTCCATCTGTAAATCACTCACTCAGCATTCTGGTTTATTGAGTGCTGCACCTGGAATCATAAGGAAGACCTGGGTTTAAATCCTGCCTTAACCCCTTACAATCTTCTCTGAGCCTCAGACTCTTTATTGAAAAAAAAAAAAAATGGGGAGGTTTAAGCCTGCCTCGCAAGTGTGTTGTGTGGATTCACTGAGATAATGAGCTCGAGCAGGCTCGAAGCATGATTTCGTACATACTATGTACACACTATTAAAATGGAATCCCAAGTGGAAGCAGCTCAAATGCCCATCCACCGTGGTTTATTTCCTAGGGCCACTGTAATAAAGCACCACAAACTGCAGCTTAAAACACATTTATTCTCTCACAGTTCTGGAGGCTGGAAGTCTGAAATCAAGGTGTTGGCAGGGCCAGGCTCGCTCTGAAGGCTCTAGGGCAGTGGTCGGCAAACTCATTAGTCAACAGAGCCCAATATCAACAGTACAACGATTGAAATTTCTTTTGAGAGCCAAATTTTTTAAACTTAAACTATATACGCCCTAACCGGTTTGGCTCAGTGGATAGAGCATCGGCCTGTGGACTGAAGGGTCCCAAGTTCGATTCCGGCCAAGGGCATGTACCTTGGTTGCGGGCACATCCCCAGCAGGAGTGCAGGAGGCAGCTGATCGATGTTCCTCTCTCATTGATGTTTCTAACTCTCTATCCCTCTCCCTTCCTCTCTGTGAAAAATCAATAAAATATATATATTTTTAAAAAACTATATAGGTAGGTACATTGTTATTAACTTAATTAGGGTACTCCTAAGGCTTAGGAAGAGGCACACTCAAGGAGCCAAAGAGCCGCATGTGGCTCATGAGCCGCAGTTTGCCGACCACAGCTCTAGGTGACAACCCTTCCTTTCCTCTTCATCTGCTGGTGGCTGGTCAGCCTTGATGTTCCTTGCCTTTCAGCTGCATCACCTCCAGTCGCTGCTACTCTGTCATCACATGGTGTTGTCCCTGTGTCTCTCCTCCTTGTCTTATAAGGACACCAGTCATACTGAATTAAGGGCCCACCCTATTCCAGTATGACGTCATCTTAACTAATTACATCTGCCATGACCCTATTTCCATGTTAGATCATATTCTGAGGTCCTGAGGGCTAAGACTTCAAAGTATCATTATGGGGGGGTGGGGGGGAGGTGACACAATTCAACCTATAACATTCATAAAATGATGATTGGATAAATAAAATGTATGATATCCATATAATGGAATATTGTTCGGCAATAAAAGGGAATGAAGTACTGATACATGCTACAACCTGGATGAACCTCGCAAACATGATGCTAAGTGAAAGAAGCCAGACACAAAAGACCACGTATTGTATCATTTCATTCATATAAAATGTCCAGAATAGACAAATCTATCCACATGGAAAGTAGATAATGATGTCTAGGGCTAAAGGGGGGTTGGTGAGTCACTGTCAAAGGGTACGGGGTTCCTTTTAGGGGGCACAAAAATGTTCTAAAACTGACTGTCGTGATAGTTGTGCAAAGAAAATGAGGAAATGGAACTTCACGGTTTTAAATAAGTTTAAGCCTCTAACATTCAATAAATTACATTTCCAGGTTCCTGAAAGGACCTATACAGATCATCCAATAAATGCTGCTGGAAAGCTTAAAGGAATCATGGGTTAGGAAGAAAATAAGACTTTCAGGCCTTCTTTCCAGCACCCTTCCCCAAACTCCTCATGGGAGCAGGGGGAGACTTAGCTGACCAAGGGGATGTGGTGAGAACTGACATCCACTGTGATCTAATTCTATGCTCTTTGCTCAGTATCTGAAAGTCTCCCTAACTAGGAATGGGATGAATTCCTCAATCTACAGCAAGGGTATCACCCTGTATCTGGATTTAGCGCAATGTTTCGCACTCTGCCGTCATGAGCAGGAGTAACCACACTGATTTCTCTTCCTTCAAACCTAAATTTGCCCATAAGAGTTCTCTTCACAGGTCAACGTTAGCAAACTATTCAACATCCTATTGTAAAAATTTCCATCAAATTATCCCTGCAACGTCCCCAAATGATACTAAAATGTGAGACATCTCTTCTGTTATCGCCGGACTGTTATTTAAACTTATTTCCCATACCTAAATAATCCAACTCCATTTCATCTTCCACAGAGGAGGGGCAGGGTCTTTCTCATTTTCACATAGAGAAAAGGTCATGGAAAGCTGCGATGCTGCCCTTGCGTGCTGCCACATTCCTGGCCCAGGGCCCAGGGCTGCCTGAGCTACAGAGAGGAATAAGACCAGAAGCTGCTCTCAAGGATCTTGGGATCAGGTTGACGACCGTGTGACTGGTGAGTGAAGTAGAAAGAACTAGTGCGACTGAGACGTGTAACTCCAACTGCCTCCCAAACTGCCCCGGGTCCCTTGTATATCTTTGTGTCCCTCTCTGGATCTTTTTAAAAATGGATTTTGATGCCCTAACCGGTTTGGCTCAGTGGACAGAGCATCGGCCTGTGGACTCAAGGGTCCCAGGTTCGATTCCGGTCGGGGGCATGTGCCTTGGTTGCAGGCACATCCCCAGTAGGGAGTGTGCAGGAGGCAGCTGATCGATGTTTCTCTCTCATCGATGTTTCTAACTCTCTATCCCTCTCCCTTCCTCTCTGTAAAGAATCAATAAAATATATATTTTTTAAAAAATGGATTTTGAGAGAGAGAGAAAGGAGGAGGAAGAGAGACAGAGATCAACTTGCTGTTTCACCATTTATACGTTCGTTCATTGGCTGATTCTTGCATGTGCCCTCATCAGGGATTGAACCAGCAACCTTGGCGCATCAGGACGATGCTCCAACCAACTAAGCTACCCGGCCAGGGCCCCTCTCTGGATCTTTAATGATTTGGTGAAGCATTCCCATGAAAGTTTATCTGGGTCTCTCTTCTTCTACCTCCACCTTTGAATAAGTAACACTTCTTTTTAAGGTGACGCCTCTCTTCCTTCAGTCCCCAAATCAACGGGCAATTTCTTTTGTTTCCAACTGCCCCAGGGCTCAATACACATGTCTGTTGCATTAACAGGAAGAAAATGGAACTGAAAGCCAGTGTGCCTGATTTGTAAAATAAAAATGAGTTTCGATCCCAGTAGCTTATGTATTATTCTCGTAAGGACCAGGTTTACATCGATCACCTTCTCCATGCCAGTCAAGTGTGGAATGTGGTGAGGTTAGAAATGTAATTGTGTAGACATAAAAAAATGCATCTCTATAACCATCATTGGGACACTTTTCTCAAGATGCTATCTCGGTGTCCTTCAGAGCAATAACTGTACCAATTGAGATGTAACAGGAGCAACTTAAATGCTATGCCTCGTTTACTTCTGGTAAAACTAATGTGCTTCAGAACAAGACTATTGCTCATGACAGAAGAGGCTGTCACAGAGGCTGCAAACGCTTTAAGACCATTAAAATGCCAGCCATGCCTGCTGTTCAAATATTCTTCAACTTCTAATGTAAGGCACCCGCACCTAATAATGTAATTGTGTTATTCTCTCTGATAGCTGGAATCTATGTAAAGCCAAATGCCTGGGAATTATGGATTGTTGGGGCTCTGGGAGTCCAGGAGACAGATGAGGTAGATAAAACATGTTATTTTATACTGGCACATTCAATATTTGTGCTCAGTTATCGTTTATGTGTTGAAATGTATTCAAAGACAAAAGGACCTGAAGTGTGTTCTCTGGGGTGAATTGAGGAAGAGGTTGGGGAAATGCATAAGCCACCTGGAGATCTAAACTCAGAAACCTCTCCTAGCTGGTTTGGCTCAGTGGATAGGGCATCAGGCCTGTGGACTGAAGAGTGCCGGGTTCGATTCTGGTCAAGGGCACATGCCCGGGTTGCAGGCTTGACCCCCAGTGTGGAGTGTGCAGGAGGCAGCCAATCAATGATTCTCTGTCATCATTGATGTTTCTATCTCTTTCTCCCTCTTCCTTCCTCTCTGAAATCAATAAAAATACATTAAAAGTAAATAAATAAACTCAGAAACCTATGTGGCTGGCATGGCTCTGTGGTTGAGCATCGACCTATGAACCAGGAGATCACAGTTCAGGGCACATGCCCAGGTTGCCGGCTCGATCCCCAGTGTAGGACTTACAGGAGGCAGTTGATCCACGATTCTCTCTCATCACTGACCTCTCTCTCTCTCTCTCTCTCTCTCTCTCTCTCTCTCTCTCCCCTTCTCCCTTCCTCTCTGAAATCAATGAAAATATATTGAAAGATAAATAAATAAATAAACTCAGAAACCTGAGAGAGAAAGACTCACACACCTGTCCTCCAAGCTATTTTCCAGGTTAAATTTTCTCTAGAGTTGACTGCCCATTATTGAATCAGGAAGTTGTCATCTTGATAAAACAGCCTTCCCCACCCCACCCCTCACCCCCCCGGAAGGCACAATTCTCTTCCTGATGATCAAGCAGAGCACAGTTGGAAAAAGGCAGCAGAAAAGGGCAATTTTAAAAGCCAGTGCGGTGAAAGGTGATGCTGCCCCGCCACACGGGGGAATTATTTCCGTTAGTGCCTGCCTTGGGAGGGGCACACTTTAGGTTCAGGGACCCCATTGGTACATCGGGGCTTTGACTGGGACATGGTGCCAATTCAAACTGTCACACAGTCCAGGGAGGGGGGAAAGGCTTAAATCCGTTTCTATTCTTCAATAGAAAGCAATACTGTAGTTTAAATTAGCAAGGCGCTGCTGAACCACTATTTAAAATGCGTTTGCACTGACATCCCAAAAAAGGGGTTTTTTTTCCCTTGTTTAATTGCACTGTCAGTGTGGAATGCTTTCAGTTAAAACCATTCTGAGGTAGACCTTTTAATAGAAAGTGACAATTTAAATTGCCATGATAACAGCGTAAATGGTGCTTAAAGTCATTACTAGACTGATGTCACAGTTGGCTCCAGACCAGTTTGTTAAAGCCAAAGAAAAGGTGTTGGGGGAAGGGAGGAAAGTAACTAAATGGTGAATCATTAATTCCTTTTATATTCACTGTAATAACATTAGCCGTGATGAAGTCATCTGGCTCCCAATGGATGCAATGTACGTTTCTATTGAATTCCACATTATTCGGTTCTAATGTTGCCCTGATGAATGCCTAGTACTCAGGAATTGCTCCAATCACAGGCACTTACTTCTCTGCAGTTACTTTGTTTTCTTGTCTTCGCTCCCATGGTCCAAAGAGGAGAGCTGTGGCTTCCATTTGCTGGTTGGAGTTTCAAAAGCATAAGTGCTAGATTTATCTATGGCCTGTCTTTCCTCTTCCTTAAATAAGTCAGATTCTCCTGGAAGCTGTTGGAATGGCTCTCACTAGCTTTCAAGGAGCTCTGCTCTGCCCCCAGAGCTGAAGGTGTCATGTCATGTGAGTTGAGGTCAAGGCCACTTGAGCAGTGCCATTGGTCAAACTTGATTGGTTTAAACAAACCAACTGGTTTGCTGAACCAATGATGTCACATCTGGGGGCCCAGTGGGTGGGGGCACCATAAAACCTCAGGCAGAGTGGCTCTGTGAACCTGGAAAGGTGCTCATAAGTGGATTAAGGGTGAGTTTGGAGTACTGGGGACAATGGGAGGGATGGTGACAGGGGCTGGGAGAAATGGATGAGGAACAGAGAAGCCTGTGGGATTGAGGGCCACTCAGTCACCTTCACAGTGTCTCACTCAGATGTCTCGGTTCTGAAACACCCCCCCCCCCTTAAAGTAAGTTAATCATTAGGCACAACAGATCAACTAGCTTATTATAAAATTACTAGAGGCCCGATGCACAAAATTTGTGTATGGGTAGGGTCCCGAGGCCTGGCTGGCAATCAGGCCAATCTGCGGGGTGATCGGCGGGGCAATTGGGGGTGCCCCCCTGCTGGCACCCGCCTTGGCCAGCCTGGTGCCGCCCGCTCGCCAGTCCTGCCCCCCACTGCTGCCGCCAGTCGCCTCCCTCTGCGAGGCCCCCTGCTGGCACCTGTCTTAGCTGGTCTGGGGCTTGCAGGCTGGGGGCAGCTCCTGAGTTGAGCATCTGCCCCCTGGTGGTCAGTGCACATCATAGCGACCGGTTGTTCCACTGGTCCTTCCACAGTTCAGTCAATTTGCATATTAGGCTTTTATTATATAGGATTTTAAAATCCAGGGTGTGGCCCTGGCCGGTGGCTCAGTTGGTTAGAGCATTTTTCGGATACACCAAGGTTGTGGGCTCAATCCCCAGTCAGGGCACATACAAGAATCAACTAATGAATGCATAAATAAGTGGAACAAACAAACCAATCTTTCTCTCTCTCCCTCTCTCTGTCCCTTCCACTCTCTCTAAAAAAAGAAAATTAATAAGTAAGATACAGGGTATACAAAAGTAGGTTTACAGTTGTGTGTATGCAAAACAGAGTTGATTCTTGTATTATTATTTATTATTGTATTATTTTCCATATGAACAACTGTAAACGTACTTTTGTTCCCACCCTGTATGCTGCACATTCCTTTTCCTTACATAAAAAATTACCTCAAGGAATTAATAATTATAACTGGGTTCACAGCAGAAAAATATACTTCACATTGTAAACTTAAAACATTATATTTAGGACTGGGTTTCTGAAGTTTCCTGAGCTCATACAATTTCAGAGTTCTGGGAATGATTCTATACCTTTAAAATTTTCCCTAAATCAGACATTATAATTTCTGGAATTTCCATCACTCAAAATTGGAAGTGATCATGGTGACATGATATTAGGGTCTTAATTTGGGGTCTGGGATGGGTTACAGAGAGACCATGAAAACCATACACAAAAGAGAGAATTGCTGAAACCGGTTTGGCTCAGTGGATATAGCGTCAGCTTGCGGACCGAGGGGTCCCAGGTTCAATTCCGGTCAAGGGCATGTACCTGGGTTGCGGGCACATCCCCAGTGGGAGATGTGCAGGAGGCAGCTGATCGATGTTTCTCTCTCATCGATGTTTCTAACTCTCTATCTCTCTCCCTTCCTCTCTGTAAAAAATCAATAAAATATATTTTTTAAAAAAGAGAGAGAGTTCATTTCTTTCATCAGAATGAGAAAGGAGCTTGCAAACCAAAAATAAAAAAACCAGTTAAGAACCATTAATCCAACATTACTTTACTAAAAACACAAAACACACACACACACACACACACACACACACACACACACACACCAGAAAACAGAGGCCCAGAGAGGTGGCTGACTTCCCAAGGCCCCTGATAGCTCTTGGCTGATCTAAAGAATCCTGGTCTCTGATTCCCAGTCCCAAACTGCTTATTAAACTTTTTATAATTCTTCTTCCTTTTGCAAAACAATGCATACTCTAGTGCTGTGCTTTTCTGAAAGTCGCTCTCCTGGCAGCCTCAACTCCCTGGGACACAGCTGTCCCTGGCAGAGGCAAAAGGGGCCTTGGAGCCACTAAAATTAGTCACGACGTTCATGCACGTTGGTCCACGAAAGAAGCACCCCAGAGCTCACCTTCCACGCCCTTCATTTGCTTAACAACAACTTATTGAGCTAAATCATTATTGATGCTTTCTTTTTTTCTTTCAAATCATAAGAGAAAGTTTCTTTAGCAAGTTACAGAGGTAGTAGAAATGAGCCAGCTGGGCTGTGGAGGCTCAGGAAACAAGTTCCAGAAGCAGAAGAAGGGCCCTTGGAGGTTAGGAGAGGGCAGGGAAAGGCGGAAAGCGCCTATCAATGCTTTCTTTATACATAATTCGGACAAATTTTGTTCTCCAGTTTCACGGAAATAACAGCAAGTTAGATGAAAGGGGACTGCAAAAGGCAAGGACATCGATCCCAAATTGTGAGAGACTCGCCCACAGCTTAACAGCAGAGGGAGAGCAAGACAGTGTCATAGAGTGAAGACTCTGAGCCATGAAGCAGACGGCAATGACTTCTCACAGTCTGTCTGGTTGGCTGAACCAGTGAGATCACATCTGGGTGGGTGGGAGCGCCATAACATCTGGGAGGGAACACAGGGATGGGCACAGTGCATTTTAGAAAGTTCTGTATTTACAGGGTTAAACTGCATGGCATGTGATGAAAACACACGTCCACTCAAAAGCTTGTATAAGAATGTTCATAGCACCACCATTCAGATGACTCAAAAGGTGGAAACAATCCAAATGTCCATCAACAAATGAATGGATAGATACATTCACCAACAGATGCCTGCAGCATAGCCATACAATGGAATGTTATTTGGGCTTAAAAAGGAATCAAATAATGATGCTACAATGTGGATGAACCTTCAAAACATTATACTAAGAAACCAGGACCATATAGTATATGATTCCATTTATATGAAATGTCCAGAATAGGCAAATCTATAGGCAGAAAGTAGATTAGTTATTGATTAGAGCTGGAAAGGATGGGGGGAAGGAGACCATAACTAAAGGATATAGGGTTTCTTTTGGAAGTGATTAAAATGTTCTAAAGTTGCCTGGCCAGTGTGGCTCAGTTGGTTGGAACGTCATCCCATGCACCAAGGAGTTGCAGGTTCGATTCCCAGTCAGGGCACATACCCAGGTTGTGGGTTTGATCCCCAGTCAGGGCACATGTGAAAGACAACCAATCAATGTTTCTCTCTCACATCAATGTTTCTCTCTCTCCCTCTCTCTCTAAAACTAATGAAAACATATCCTCGGGTGAGGATTTTAAAAATAATAATAAAATGTTCTAAACTTGACTGTGGTAATGGTTCTACATATTTGTGGATATATTAAAAGGCATTGAAAATATTAGCCACCTTAGGGAAGATAACTCTCAAGATGGGGGCAAGGGAGAAAGGAGGATGTGTGCTATAAATAAGTTTACTGTGTTTTGAAAGGCTTAGTCTTGCTGGAGGAAACTAAGTGTTGGTGTCCAGAAAATGGGGTAGTCAGCCTGGCCAGCTTCGCTCAAGAGGTCACGGTTCGATTCCCGGTCAGGGCACACACCCGGGTTGTGGGCTTGATCCCCAGTGTGGGACGTGCAGGAGGCAGCTGATCAATAATTCTCTCTCATCATTGATGCTTCTATCTCTCTCTCCTTCTCCCTTCCTCTCTGAAATCAAGAAAAATATATTTTTTAAAAAGAAAGAAAATGGGGTAGTCAGTCTCTTGGGTTTAAGGGTCAAAAGAGAGAAACTGTCTGCTTAGGGGGAGAGGGTAGTACAGAAGACAATCTAAAAGTCTTGAGAAAGGGTATGGCCCCTCCATTGACTCTGGGAATACAGGAGGAGCCCTCTGGCACCATTGAGATCCCCAGGAGTGGGAAAGGGACAGCAATTGTGAGTTTCACAAAGCACAGACATCTGGCCAGCCTGGCCCAGCACTTCTGAGGTGTCATGGCGCCGGAGGGGATCAGATTGTGCAGCTGATGGGACCAGGCACTAAGAACTATGACCTATGGAAGCCATGAGCCGAGCACCCTGGGTTGAACAAGTCACTGATGGAGCACAACACACGCCAGGGATATGAGCTGGACCCGGGGAATGTCACAGCAGCGAGGCTGCCAGCATGTCTTCGTGACACTAGGAGGCAGCAAGTACCACTGCAGCAACGCCAGCACCAGGTGACAGCTGGGATATTCCATCTGGACTGTGTAAGGCCCACAATATTCTCAGACCACCTGGAGGGGTGTGGAGGAACCCAAAATATTGATGTTGGATTTCTTATCTACCTGGCACTTGTGGTCCTGATTCCATCTTTTTTTTTTTTAATATATTTTTTATTGATTAAGATATTACATATGTGTCCTTGTCCCCACGTTACCCTCTACCCCCCACCCCCCCCACCCCCGCTCATGCCCTCACCCCCCCCCGTTGTCCATGTCCATTGGTTAGGCCTATATGCTTGCATATAAGTCCTTTGGTTGATCTTTCCCCCTTACCCCCACCCTCCCCTACCTTCCCTCCAAGTCCCGACAGTCCAATCAATGCCTCTCCGTCTCTGGATCAGTCCTTGTTCATCAGCTTATGTTGTTCATTATATTCCACAAATGAGTGAGATCCTGTGGTATTTATCCGCTCTCAAGTTCCATCCATGCTGTGGCAAATGGTAAGAGTTCCTTTTTCTTCTTCCTCTTCTTAAAGAATACCTTTCAGCATTTCATATAATGCTGGTTTGGTGGTGATGAACTCCTTTAGCTTTTTCTTATCCGTGAAGCTCTTTATCTGACCTTCTATTCTGAATGATAGCTTTGCTGGATAAAGTAATCTTGGTTGCAGGTTCTTGCTATTCAT